AAATCAACAAATATTTTTCCAGTTTTGTAGTCTATACATTTTATTTTATACTTTCAGTACATAGACTAACAACAATATTAGGTTATACTTTGTTGCTGAGCAACACGACATAAAAGCCACTGTTGGAACGTAGTGTTACCAAAACGCACTGACTTTTCTATATATTAGAAGATGTTACTCTAAATGATTTTTTATCAACAATTGTTATATGAAAATGCTACGAATTCATTTCATGAATGATAACCTTAATTTTGATTGGCTCACAAAGGAATTTACCGACGTTTGGCTTTCTCGACTGCACTTTTCTGCCTCTTTGTTGGTCAAGCTTGATTTCGCAAAATGTATTTATTTCATTTAGCTATTATATGTGAGGTTAGGGTATACAATGGGGTGGGGGTGGTAGTACTTGCCCCGTCAGTTTTGACGGGCTATACGCTAGTAATGCGTAATTCTCATTGGATATTTCTACCGTTGCAGCTTTGTCTTTCATACATGTCACCCGATATGGTAGTGGTTAGTCTAAGGGCTTAGCATACTAAAATCTGGGGTTCGATTCCCTGTGTTGAGTAGCTTGTTTGTTTGTTTTGAATTTCGCGCAAAGCTACACGAGGGCTATCTGTGCTAGCCGTTCCTAATTTAGCAGTGTAAGACTAGATGGAAGGCAACTAGTCATCACCACCCACCGCCAACTCTTGGGCTAATCTTTTACCAACGAATAGTGGGATTGACCTTCACATTATAACGCCCTCACAGCTGAAAGGGCGAGCATGTTTGGTGCGACGGGGATTTGAACCCGCGACCCTCAGATTGCGAATCGAGCGCCCTAACCACCTGGCCATGCCGGGCCAATGTTGAGTAGAGTGCAGATAGTCCATTGTGTAGCTTTGCACTAAGAAAGCAACAACAACCTTTATACATTTACTTAGCCCATATTGACAATTCTACATTAATTTACTTAATGTGCAAGAGTAGTGAAATTAATAACATTTGACAAAAACCAACATTGATAGTAAATGGGCCGAGCGTGTCCTCAAGAGTTCACCGATCTCTTCATGGGTGAGGAAGTAGAGAAGTCCACGTTCCGGAAGTCTTCCTTCTTTTATCATTAATTTTTCCAAATATCGGTAGGCTTTTCGACAGTGATCAACAGACTTGATCAAAATAGACTAAAGAAAAAACAATAAAACGTTTACATTCACCGACGAAGTATACATTAAATCTGAATCACTGTCACAAGTCCCCCTCTTCCTCTATAAGCTAACACATAACTTACTTAATACTCAGTTTCTCTTAACGCCAGTTGAGTTACTTTTGTGTCACATTTGATCTCATGACAGTTTAATAAATGAAAAGGTCACTCTTCGTGACAGAAAAAGATACATTATACGCATGCTCTGTTATCTGAGATAGATTCCCTTTTCGGCATTATCATTCGTCATGGAGTTCACCTGTTAAATGATTACATCTTTATTATAAGTGGAATTTATGAGATAAACTGCAAATAACTAGAGTATCGGAAATGGTTAACTTTGCAAACTCTTCCATAATTTTCAGGATGCAAATTTAGCAGCAAGAAAACAAATATTTCTTTTGCAAACACGGATAACTTCGTTTTGGATTTACTTTTCTTTAATCACGAGCTTTTAATCAATTGCATATTTTTATCTGACTGCTGTGTATTTCAGGTTTCTAAGTGTGAGATCTTACATTTAATGTGAAATAATTTGAAGATTGAGGTAATTTAGTTTGTGATATATTTTAAAAATAAACTCACCTTGCTATTCTCCCTTTTAACAACCGCCCACCTGGCGAGCGAAACAACACGTCGAAAATAGAATCTAGAACAAGTAAGTAAGTATAGATTGTTAATTTCATGGTGTACATTAACTAACAAATGTTATATCAATTTCACATTTAACCAGTTCTTCTACGTCTATTTTTTTACTCTCCCACTGCTACGTTTATGGATAAACAGTTCTCCTAGTGCTAGATATTTTGGAATTAATTATCTCTCTCTCTTATTACTTGTCATGTCAAGATGAATTCTTCTTAGAGATAATTGACTTAAATATTTTACACGTGATGAGGTTCTCAGACTGTAAGAAGTATTAAGTAAAATGATAACCTCCGTCACGTTATGTTTTCACCTCTGTGTGTGTGTGTTTGTCAGCAAGATTTCTCGAAAACGGCTGAATGGATTTGAACGAAAGTTGGTATACATTTGGACTATGACCCAGCTTAGAATTGCTTAGTTTTAGAAGGTAAATGTCAAAGGTGAAAGACACGAAATTCCAAAAAATCCAAATCTGTTAAAATGGGGACCGATTTTTCACACTATATTTACTCTATAAGTCAGTCAAAAATGATCGGATTTTGATTAAACTTGATGGATATGTGTAGAATATTATTCCCCATTGTCCTGCTAAAGATGGCCTGTATCCATTGATAACGACGGGCAAACAGACACATTTTCTTATTTTTGAGAGCCGAAAAAGATCAACGATGCGCAGCGGAGGTGTGCGCTCTACTGAGTTCCCCTCTAGTTGTTATATTTTTTGGAGGGGGGGGGAGGTGGATTACTTTGATAAATGTAGAAAGGTGTTAATCTATTTGGTGTTTGTTATAATTTATAGATGGTATTTTTTCCTTCATTCCATTAGAATAAATACTTGTTTTTTGATAATTTTACAGCACCTTCGTTTCCTTACTTTTCGTATTCTTTGAAATATTCTTTATTTTGATACCTAAAAACTTGAACTACTCTAACGATATTATTCACTTTCCTTTATACAAGCGTGTTTTGTATTTGTTTCTACAGTTGCAATTTGTCTTTTACAATCAATTCTGTCTTCGATAATTTTTACTTGCAAATCAAAAGAAGATTTCAGGTTTTCTTTTTTTTTCTCTCTTTTTACACGCATCTCAGATAAAAAATAAATATGGTACTAAAAGAAAATTTGTTCAGAACATTGGAAGAAAATTATTTTTATTTTATTTTTCTGGGAATCGTAGTTTACCAACGCATTTTATTTCTGACTTTTCGGATGACATTCATTATTGGTAATGAGATACACGTTCAATGACTGTATAGATAGACCTGTTGTGTGTGTCCTTGAATACCTGGGAGTGTTGGATAAAACCGGATCCAAATGATGAAGACCATGCTCGGATCCAAATAATGAAGATCATGCTCGGATCCAAATATTGAAGATCACGCACATCATCCATTCGCACACATTGCTAAGTCTGACAAAACTTTCAACCTAAGAAGCAATGATAAACGATGATCAATGAACTACAATCCAAGACACAACTACCCACCTTCTGTTAAACAATTTTTTAAATTTGTTTTCAAATTTTTTATTTGATAAGTTTATTTCCCCCTCCATAACGGCTCATAACGGCTACATCCTTTTCTCGTATGGCATGTTGTAGTACATAAAAGTCAACGTAGCCACCAATAATGGCACCTGCCTTGACGAGTATGCACCACCGCCGTATGCGTGACTCTTCTCAGTCAGTTCGGAGTTGAATCTAAGCATTTCTCTAAATACGTACACATCTCAGACTTAGAGGAGTGTGTGTAATTCGTATGTGAACAAGGAATTCTACCATATGTTCTATGATCATTTTGCTTGTTCTTGATACTACAGATGACGGGTTGATTTGTGGTTAGAGGCTAAAAGAATAATGGACACCGATGCTCTTCTGGCATAAAAGGTCAACTTTACGAATCCTATTTCTAAATGTTTGCTTGCTGACTTGTTGTCTAGTTGCTACCTCTGAATTGTTGATTTAGTTGCAAATCTGAGATACTCCAGTTGTTTCAAGCGCTGGTGGGACAGCGATAAGTTTACGGACTTATAACCCTAAAATCCGGGATTCGATTCCCCGCGGTAGACAAATCTTCAAGTCCATAATGTCGAATAGCGGTCATCTTCTAGCCATTTTAATGAAAATTAGCAAATGTCTTAATTAACATACGGGCATGTTTAGATATCAATGTGCATCGCTTTACGTATTCTGACTCTGACTCTGTGCATATCAGATTACATGACTGGTTACCTAACTCTTCTATACAAACTGCAACTCTGGAATGTGAGTGACAATACTTAGTAGCAGTAGTTATGCTTTATCATAAATGGAATACAGAAGTCTCTGATTATCTCTTAATTGGTTTGCGCAGCGTTTACTGTCACGCATGTTGTTTATTATTTGGGTTCTTTATGGTACTTTAAAAACTGATGAGGAATTTATTTAAAGCTTCCTGATTAATCTATGTGTTCTAAATAAACTGGACAGGATCAACCGAATACAATTGTATGTTAATAATAAATATGGGTGCCAACATGTTAAAAAGAGAGAAATTGAGTTAAAATGCGTCTGTATATACGCCCTTACTTTCCCGAAAAACATGTGTATTTTGAAACATAATTCAATAAAATAAAAAGGCCCTGTACAGCTTGGTACTTTAAAAAATAATTATCAAAAATAGTCAAACGCGAAAAGTTATGTCTGTTGGTAATGCGAAAACCCTAACTGATTTAATGTTGTATATGAAGAAAAAACATTTGAAACTGAGTAGACCAACAACGTTATAACTCAATAATAACGTCGTGTTCTAAACCTAGATACCCATAAAGCACTCATGAAAACCTTACCTTCCAAGAAATCCAGATTTGTATCTAGTATGCCGAATGGCTTCATCGACTGTCATGTTTATTTTAGCTGCACGCTTTTCTCCAGATGTTTTTAGCAGGTTCTGATAGCAAATAAATACAAATATTTGATTAAATTAGTTTTTATAGAGATTTAAAATAGTTTTACAAGAACTATGCGGCCAACACCTATTAAAGTTTAATACAATTATTTATAGAAATCTTTGTTTGTTTGAGAAATTTAGCGCAAAGCTATACAACGCTAGCCACCGCTAATTTTAAGCTAAGAGATTAGAGTGATTTGTTTGTTTGAGAAATTTAGCGCAAAGCTATACAACGCCAGCCACCGCTAATTTTAAGCTAAGAGATTAGAGTGATTTGTTTGTTTGTTTTGAATTTCGCGCAAATCTACACGAGGGCTATCTGCGCTAGCCGTCCCTAAATTAGCAATGTAAGACTAGATGGAAGGTAGTTAGTCATCACCACCCACCGCCAACTGTTGGGCTACTCTTTTAACAACGAATAGTGGGATTGACCGTCACATTATAACGCCCCCACGGCTGAAAGGGCGAAGTATGTTTGGTGGACAGGATTCGAACCCGCGACCCTCATTTTGCGAGTCGAGCGCCCTAACCACTTGGCCATGCCGGGCGGATTAGAATGAAGTCAAAACCGCCTACCACCAATCTTTGATGTACTATTATCGAATAGTAGGATTTAACCACTTTTATCCCCCCCCCCCAGTGGCACAGCGGCATATTTGTGGACTTACAGCGCTAGAAAGAAATCGGGTATCGATATTCTTTGTGGGCAGAGCACAGAGAGCCCATTGTGTAGCTTTGTGCTTAACTACAAACACTTGTATAATGCACCCACGGCGCCAAGGTGCAAGACAAAATTGATTGTGTAAGATATATTGCAACTGTAGAAACAAATACAAAACACGCTTGTATAAAGGAAAGTAAATAATATCGTTAGAGTAGTTCAAGTTTTTAGGTATCAAAATAAAGAATATTTCAAAGAATACGAAAAGTAAGGAAACGAAGGTGCTGTAAAATTATCAAAAAACAAGTATTTATTCTAATGGAATGAAGGAAAAATACCATCTATAAATTATAACAAACACCAAATAGATTAACACCTTTCTACATTTATCAAAGTAATCCACCTCCCCCCCCCCTCCAAAAAAATATAATAACTAGAGGGGAACTCAGTAGGGCGCACACCTCCGCTATGTATCGTTGATCATATTCGGCTCTAAAAAAAATACGAAAATGTGTCTGTTTGCTCGTCGTTATCAATGGATACAGGCCATTTTTGGCAGGACAATTGGAAATAATATTCTACACATGTCCACCAAGTTTCATCAAAATTCGACTTACAGCGCTAGAGATCGGGTTTCGACACCGGTTGTGGGCAGAGCACAGATATCCCATTGTGTAGCTTTGTGCTTAACTACAAACAAACAAACACTTGTGTAATGCACCCACGGCCCCAAGGTGCAGAGTAAGTTTTTCTTCTTTTTTTTTGTGGTAACGAAATGCGGCTACTGGAACCTTGGATCCATAGTTTGGCATACTTATCTCTAGGACAGGACTAAATATGTTTTTATTGTAAACAACTAAGTTAAATATAGGCTAAACGGTTAAGACATGGACCTCATGGTTCAGGTATGGTCGTCTCTAATTTAGGACTGCTGGCTAGAGGGAGGGTAAACAGTCAGCAACATCCGCCGCTTATACGGCTACTTTTAACTGAATAGTGAGATTGTCATTTTACAAAGCGTCCCCAGCTGAAAAACTCAGAATGTGTTCAAGCCTTGGACCTTCTAATCCACAGCCCAACATGCAACATGTAGGCCATAAATTGATAATATACTCTATTTTTTTATTTGGATATTTTCTATTTTACATTATTTTTGCATGGTTTTGAGTATACATTTGGTAATTGTTTATTTTTTTAAAGTTATTTACATTTTCTTCTTGTATGTAATTTAATACTTACTTTTAAAATCAACGCGACGACAATTTTCAAAACTGAAGATATTTATACTTCCATTGCAAAAGACCTAATCATAACCCAAAGTAAAACCTTGCATAGTTTCCAAAATCTACCTAGAATACGAGGACGAGCAGCGCGTTTTTGTCCCGGACTTTGGATCCAGAATTCCATGGTTTGTGATCCGTTACCACCAAAAACAAACATTCCACTTCACAGTTTAGAATTATGAGTGCGTTATAAGAGCGAGAGTCAAACCTCACTGATCGATTAGAACATATTATGAGTTGGCTATGGGTGGTGTTGACCAACTGCTTACCTTCTAGTCAATTACTTCTAAATTAGGAACGGCTAGCATAGATAGTCTTTGAGTAACTTTGTGCGAAAATTCAACAAAATAAATAAACAAACAATAGGTCTTGATTTTTGATAATTTTAATATTTTAATTCAGTACACTGTAAATTAAGTATAACGATGCATTAGATCATTGTAGCGCTTAATTATTCCAGTGTAAATTAAGTCTAATTATGCAGATTATTATTATCCCTGTCCAACATCATAAATTAAATCCAATTATGCATTTAATTACTGTAACACTTAATAACCCATTCCAACTCCGTAAAAGCTGATTTATTAATGTCACCCTAGTAACTAGCTGAAATGGGGGTGGGGGGTGAGCCTTTTGTTGAAAATTCATGAGTTGTATCAAAATATGAAACATTACCTGTAGTGTTTGAACAAGACTTCTTGGATCTTCTTCCCACGTGGCACTCATGACGTCGAACTGTATAGATTAGGATACGTTTTATATTCATTACGTAAGAGTGATAACGTTCTATACCAAAATATTTTACACGTACCACGAGAATTTCACTGTACAACTAAAACAATAAGTTATTAATTTTTAAATGGAAAGAAGTACTTAAGTTTTTACCTAAAGTGTTACAAGTTACGAGCACTTTAGGACTAATTATGAATGTTGTAGCGGATTCGATAGCCAACACTCTTGTTTTTTAAGTAACTTTTGCTATTCGTCTTTGGTCTCATAATCAATCAATAAGCATTAAAAATATACCATATTTAAGGACGCAGGTCACATAATATTCATAAAAACATATAACTCCTAATGAAGAATATTCATCAATTTATTTAGCTACTTAATAAAGAGCGGACTTGAAAGAAAGCTTTGTAAGTAAGAATCGTATACCATAAATAGAAGTATTGAATTTTACAGTGTATGTATATTTTCAAAATATCTTACTCATAAGAGTGAGTCTACTTATAAGGAAAAAACTATTTATAGCTAAAAATCATACGAGTTTCACACCTCCTTCCAACATCGATGTCCGTGTGTTGAAATAAAATTTTTATAGGTAGTGCCAGCTCGTCCTCGGTCTTTACGCAGCCAGTTTAAAGCTTCCTGCAGTAAAAACGTACAAATAAATAATGTGCACGACCTTCTTATTAACTTGGCATTGTAAAGAACAAGCAAGAGGAAGTCTTTTGTTCGTAAGTAAAACTCTGAGATAAAGAGTACGTGTTCTAATGGGTAATTTAAATGTACTGATATTTATGGCCTAATTACACTACCATATTCATGACGTAATGAGTAAAGGAGTTACTGATTATCGGATGAAAAACCTATCGTGAAATTTACCTTACAAAAATATCACTGTAATGCTTGCGTTACGATCACTTTTAATTCACTAGAACAATAAAAATATTTCTATTTAATTCAAAGAAACCCGCTTTTATTGTGTGTGTGTGTGTGTATATATATATATACATATATATAATATAGTAAAATACTATTTTCATATTTAAAGTGCCTTTTGTAAGATTTGATATTATTAACTTCAAAATATTTATAATTTAGAATATGTATTCACTTATCAATGTTACATCTAATATTTAGGAAGATCTAGTCTAAAATGTTCAGGTTAAAATAACCTAAAATCTCTTATATAATTAGATACCTAAGAGCTTGACATTTATATGATCTATTCGTTTTGGGTATTCATAATACTGTCTCGAAAACAGATTGCTTGTATGATTCCAATGAAAGATCAGAAATGAGAGGAAATCATAACGCGGTCCTGTTAGGAATATTCCTGGAAAAACATTTTATGGTACCTTTCTCGTCGAGCATTACTGACACACATTACTATTATATATTATCAAGTCATCAGAAAAGACAGGGAAATATAACTTTTTTTATTTTTTCAAACCATCATATAACGGAACAATCCAAACTACTTAGTAGGCTTAGCAAATATAAACCGCAAAGTGTAATCCATTCAAATGAGCCAACATTAATAAGTACGAAGCCTTAAATCCCCCGGTGGGACGGCGGTAAGTTTACGGACTTACAATGCTAAAATCCGGGGTTCGATTCCCCGCGGTGGACACAGTAGATAGTTCAATATGGCTTTGTTTTAAAACAATCAACCAGTCAACAATGCGAAATTTTGTTTTCAGTATTTTAATCGCACGCGAGCGTGAGTAAGAAAATATTTTTTACTTGTTTCATTTCACAATTTTTTAACATGATGTAACATCACCTTGCTGCATTTCTTCAAGTTCAGTGCTAACTTCATTATGCTTTACAGCTTTTACACCAGTGTAATAAGTTACTATTATAATAAGTAAGATAAGGTTTTCAGAAATGAAAATAAAAGAAATAACAGACAAAGATTAAATCACCCTCGAATCGCCTACCCAATAGTGGTACGTGTTCAGAAGTACAAATAAATACTTCCATAAATGGGCTGCGACACTTTTCAAATATTACTTATTTATCTGATATTCATTACAATTAATTTTGAAATAAGACAGCAACACTTTTACAATACCTTTTTACTTACTCGTTTGATATTATTATTAATCATTTCACTTGTGTAAAGTAGAAAAAAACCATAGGAAATATGTATAGAAAGTTCAATTTCAGATGAATTTGTATCTTATCTTTAATCGAAAATAGAGAATTTAGTCGAGTAGAGAGTTACTAATATCAAAATAAAATACTACCACAGTTATATACACTTCTTATGATATGATATAACCAACAAATAATTTTATATCATCCTATCTTTTCTAGACATAAACGCAGTTGTTTAAAAACGAGGAAGAGATTGATGTACTAGTAACAAACATGAAGCGAAAAAAGACTTTTTAAATAATTTCATTACTCTATTGACAGGACTTTATCTTGCCACAATAATACAATAAGATAAAGTAAAAACATTTAAGACTTTTACTTCAATTAGTATTTATTAAATAGTCAGGCTTATCGCCTGTATAAACAGGTTAAACAAAATGATCTGACAATAAGTCAAATATTGTTCTCAAACCTAGGGCTGTAAACACTATAAGTATAAAATTTAATTATTTTTGGTTTAAAAATACACTATATTGTATTTTTTATTAACTTTCGCTTACTTAGTTATTCGTATGTTTAGGCTCAGATTTTTTTAGAGGTAACATTATTCTAGAGCACTAAAAATATCTGGTTTTACAGAACCTTACCTCAACACTCACGGAAGTAAACATTGTTGCTGCGCCAGTGTTTAGAATCTCAGTTGCCAAGTCCTATATAAGTGTTTCAAAAGTAACTATACATAAATATACATACACAAGTACATATATATATATATTCCTTTTTTTTTCAAAATACCTAGCTAATAATTTAACAATACGTCATACATACCTAGATAATAACTTAACGATACCTTCCTTATACACACCAGATGTAACGTAACGATATTTCATACATGTCTAAATAATAACAGTAAAATATATATATAAAAAGATAATTACAACACCTCATACATACTAAGCTAATAGCTTAACCATACCATCTTTATATATCATACTTATCTTGATATTAACGATACATCATGCACACCTGAATAGTATGTTAACAATATATCATGCTTATTTTGATAATAACG